TCATACACATCCGAGTCTACGACCATGACCACCATCAAGGTGGCCGGCTCAGTCGCACTAGCGTTGTCGCTGATGCGGTGATGGCAACCCGGAGCTTCATACCAGGAGCCTCCCGCCTCTATAACCTTCATCGGGTCGTTGTTCATCTTGTTGAGCACCGTGCCGCTGAGGACATAGGCAGAGACCGAGGCGCCGCCATGTCGGTGGGGTGGGGTCGTTCCGTTGGGGGGGAATTCCACACGTAACCCAACGATTGTCTTGCCGGGACAGTTGACGAGCTTGTAGGCGTAGACTATGCTAAGGGCTGACTTGGGCCGGCTGTGCGAGTTGGTTTGAGTTGATGAGATTGGTGTGTGGACAGATGATGCTTACGTCGGGTCATAGGTTGGTTCTTGCATTTTGATAATTGATGATTGATGGACTTTGCAGGGTTCTTTGGATCTTGCTTTGGACTTATTGGTTTCTCGACCGATATTGAGTCAAGAGACTGGTGAAATTTATACCTTGCTGGCTGGCTATGCGGGTTAAGTTCGGGTATCCGAAGTTGAATGGATAGCCTATCCGGGTACTAAGTGACGACCGAACAACCGTCAATCAGCACACTCCAGCAACAGCCGGGGGAAAAGCTCTTCGTGGACAACCTTCGGCTGCAGTCGCAGAAGCTGGGTCTACCGTATAATGGTTAGACTGATAAGTAGGACAGTCACGGATAGTCAGATTGCAAACAAAATATTCGCACGGTTTTGTAAATTATTCGCAGTATTGCAACTCGTATGTTCAACTAGTTCTGCAGGTTCGTAGTCTTTGTGTTTTATTCATGTATGATGTATGTATTACGTATGTATATATATATCTCTCTATACACACCACGACCAGCACTAGTTTTAAGAGTCCATCTATAGTAACTTTGCATAAGATGATCTATTTATTCGATCGCCACATATATATATATATATATATCATCCAATAGCATGAGAACCCTCATTGTTTTGCCTTCATCGAGCGTCTCCGTTCTTCCAGTACATTCCTTCCTGTATTGAACAATCTCTCTCTCTTGGGACTCCAGAGCTGGAAATAGCATGTCAGGATACCGATCAATATCGGATATTTGGGGTTTGTAGTGAAGATTGTCACGAAGAGCTTGTACAATCTTCCTCTCAGTGCCCGGGAGGGCAGGGAAGGATGTTTAAGCAGATGCACGTGATATATTGCGAATAATGAATAATTTATCGACTCATTTGTAGTCGCAACAGCCCTAGTCTTTGGTAGGTAGCTACTTCTATGTAGAATGGAATTTTATTCATACTTTGACAGCCAGGCAGAGGGGTGGCCAACATTCGGCTCTCACGAGGCCCAAAATCCCAAGTCCCCACGAATAGATCTTGTAAGGCTGTTGAGAAGAGCCAAGGTTAGTTTGCTTAGAACAAAGGAATATACATTTAATTACAGATCATACAATTTTTACCATTATCGAAGTCTACCAGTATAGATAAAGAAATGACAGCTCCTTGCCGCAATTTGCCTATGTGCGTTCTTACGACGTGATCGTAACGACTGATGGAACGTTGACAGTCCCAAAGACTTGCAAGGGATGTTTGAATGCTGGATACCCGACTTGAGTGAGGGAAAATAAAATCAGGTCCTACTCCTGCATACTTCTGGTTGACCATTAACAAATTACGTTTCTCCCCAGTCCCAAGCTACTTCAATATTTGTCTCAATGAGCTATTGATTATGCCATAATGTAAAAATTCGACTGTAGTTGATAGGAAGAGCGCAACAGAGAAATAGAGATATATCATTTATTCTAACATGCCTGTGTAGTGCAATAAGCTCGTATACACTATCAGAAGCCATCTTCCATTCTTCCTGTGTTGCAGATTGAGTATCCAGTCTTTTAAAGTAAACAAGGTAGGAATTAATACATGTTCAAGTTGCTCATGGGGTTCCTTCCAACAAAAACACACAGAAGTAATATGCAACAAAGCATCAGTTCTAACCATCAGTGTAGTTGGAAGTAACTGTAAGACTCTCTAGATCGGCAGTACATACTGCATGAAGGGACTGGTCTCATCATCTACACCTACCATAGCCACTTTCCACTGGGCCATCTAGTCCCACGCAGATGGGGGTGGTGTCAAACTGTAATGCCTGGTATACTATTCCTGACAGTGGCTCTTGCGCTGCAATTGAGATGCGGTGCAGGATCATATTTGTGTAGCTGTATAAATAGAATCTGGCTATTAGCTTAATTGTCAGTATTTGTTGATTGGATATGCTGTTTGTGTTGGTGTTTCCTCGTAATATTAAGATTCATGCTACTGGGTGCCCTGGTGTAGACAAGGCAAGGCAAKTCAGATCTATACTCCGTACTTATAAAGCAGATGTCAAGAGTCATCTATCAGTGGAAACTACTGGCTGTTCTCTTTTAATATATCTGTAGGTCCATACTGCTTCATATGGTCAAAAAATGAGGCTTCCGATTCGCTCAAGGCGAGGACTAACAGACCCGATCCAAGTATGGAGCACAACTGCTTATTATGAGACATCATTTGGTCTTGTCTCTGCCATTTTGCATGAAATTAGCACACCTGCGGGCATGTTCCTACCTGACGCAAGATGGCGAAATTAAGTCGTTATCACCGACCTTACCTCAGTCGGGAGCTAAGATAGGTTAAGAATTTTTCCACAACAAGAAGAGCTTCGAGATAAGTTGCCGTTCTGATATCTCGTCGCCTAAATCTAGTGTATCTGTGTTCGGCCATGACGATAAATCCTGTTCGCGTACCGGCGAGTGCCGTGTTATTCTCCACTCAAAGTCAAAAGGCCAATCGAAAACTTGGCTGATACGATGATAAGCCCTCTAGACGGTGACTTGCCGACGATCCGACCTAAAAGCACGAGAGAATGGACCCATTTGACTAATGGTATCGGTTATCACTGCTGATCTCTGTAAAAGTCGTGATAGTGGAATCGGATCCACTGTGCTGGTCCTGGAAGCCATCAAAGGCCCATGTCGCGTAATTTTCGCTGCAGAATTTGCAGCTATATAACCGCGGCGGATGCCGCGACTGGTCGGTCCTCAGTGCAGTTGAAAGAGTGAAGACCAAGTTCAAAACGGTAGACGGCCTCCAAATGCATCTGGTCAAGTCAATTGCAACGGGACTGCTGCTCGCTGGCTGTGTGCTGGCATCGGCAGTCCCTAAGCCAGCGCCCTCTCACAAGATCGCGCCCAAGGTCTTCATCGTCTCTATGGTATGTTTATCCGGGTTGTGAGGACGACGGCCACTCACATGCACAGTTCGAACCCGAAGCCGCCGTATGGTGGAAGATTCCCGAGTTTGATCTCCTCGCGCACAACCTCACGGTGCCCGGTGCCTCCCCCATCTATCCCGACGTCTACTGCACCGCCGACCACAGCATCTGCCAGCTCATTACCGGCGAAGGCGAGATCAATGCAGCCGTCACCGTCTCCTCCGTTGCCTTCTCACCGCTCTTCGACCTCACGCACACCTACTTCCTGATCGCAGGCATCGCCGGTGTCAACCCCAAGGTCGCCACCATCGGCGGCGTCACCTTCGCCCGGTACGCCGTGCAAGTCGCCCTGCAGTACGAGATCGACATCCGCGACCTCGGTCCGAACTATACATCCCCATACATACCCCAGGGCGCCTACTCCCCCGGCCAGTACCCAGGGCAGATCTACGGCACTGAAGTCTTCGAAGTCAACGCCGAGCTGCGCTCGCTGGCCGCCTCCTTCGCCCGCACGGCGCAGCTGACCGACTCCGACAAAGCCAAGGCCTACCGCGCCAAGTACGTCACGGACAATGGCATCTACAAAGCCGGCACCCAGGCCCCCTCAGTCGTGGAGTGCGACGTCTCCACAACTGACGTCTACTTCAGCGGGACAATCCTCGACGACATCTTCGACAATACCGTTCAGGTTCTGACGAACGGGACAGGCGTGTACTGCACTACCGCGCAGGAGGACAACGCCACGCTCGAGGCGCTGCTGCGTGCTGCGTCGCACAACCGCGTTGATTTCTCCCGGATTATCGTCATGCGCACGGCGTCCGACTTTGAGAGACCGTATCCTGGTCAGTCGGCGATTGATAATCTGCTGTATGTGGACCAGGGCGCGTTTGAGCCTGCGCTGCAGAATCTCTACAATGCTGGGATTAAGGTTGTGCAGGGCATTCTGGACGGTTGGAACAAGACGTTTGCAGCTGGTGTCAAGCCCAGCAACTATATTGGCGATGAGTTCGGGACGCTGGGCGGCAAGCCGGATTTTGGGCCCGGGACGACGATTGCACGGAAAGAGGGTAATGCGTTGAAGAAGAGGGGTGTGGCTAAGCGTGGAAGACGGCTGTAGACTGTTGTCTCCATTCTGGTATATATCATCTAGACTTCTGTCCTTGTAAATAAAAGGCGTGTTTGCAACTCCTTGCGCCTACAGCTTGCATGTCAGCTATATATTAATCAGGAAGATTCTTTGGAGCCTGTTGAACCCACATACAACGCAAAAACTTCCGCATCATTTCTTTGAAGCGTTATTGATCTGACCAGCCACGCAAAGTCTCCATGTCCTGGTACAAACACGAGAAGGAGCATGGTGCTTTAGAAGTGTCAGGGAAACGAAAAAATATTCCACGAATCAGCAGCAAATCCTGACGGCTTCAAGCTTGTGTCCACCAAGGAACCCCGCAAGTCGATATCAGCCGAAACTCGCTGAACTGGATCTCCCCGGCTGCCGATTATTTCCTCTTTGGGAACGGAGTGATGCTTCACTTGTGCCTCCCCGCAGTCTACGACAGGTAAATAGATAGACAAGGGATATAGTGTACTCCGTACCTTTGATCCTTTCGTCACCAGTATGCGGGGTATTCATTGATTTCTCCACAATTTCCCCAGAGGTAGGAATTGAAACAATAACCGACAATGACGACTTTCCCTTCGTTTCCCATTACCGACAGGTTCTGTAACTAACACCCTACAACGCGATGAATCTCAAGATACTTGCCTCCTGCCTCCTAGGCTCGACCGCCTTGGCCGCGGCCTCAACTTCAGAGCTCCAAGTAGAAACAACCAGCGGCATCGTCCACGGCTTCTACAACAACTCGGCCGAGACAGTCCGAGCATTCTTGGGTATCCCCTATGCCGAACCACCAGTTGGCGAGCGCCGATTTGCACCCGCTGTGCGCAAGACCAGGTTGCAAGGCGTGTTCGACGCCTCGTCATTCGGCCCTCCGTGTCCCGGGCAGTTCTCATTCTCGAATGAGTCGATCTGGACCGTGCTGCCGTACAACCCGTGGAACACGGCAGATATGTCCGAGGACTGTCTATCCATCAACATCTGGGCGCCTGCGGCCAAGCATAAGAAGTCCAAGGGGAAGAAGGCGGTGATGATGTATATCTACGGAGGGGGTTTTGTGCAGGGTGGCACGGCACTTACTTTCTACGATGGGAACAATCTTGTCCAGGATAATGAGGATATCGTTGTTGTGACATTCAAGTAGGTCTACCTGCCTAGCCACTTTGCAGAGCAACAACTCATGATGTAGCTACCGCGTGACGGTATTCGGGTACCCCAACTCTCCTGATCTACCCTGGGGTCAGCAGAATGTCGGCCTTCTTGACCAGGTTTGCTCACTTCCTTGTAACATGGAGCGCGGTTAACAAGAGCAGAGACTGGCGGTCCAATGGGTCCATGACAACATCGAGAAATTCGGCGGTGATCCCTCTCGAATAATGCTGTTCGGACAGTCTGCCGGTGCAGCTTCAGTGGACATGTACACCTACGCGGTAAGTCTTCCCTCATTCTGCCAGCAATCCAACTCACAGGCGTAGTATCCGGACAATCCCCTCGTGCATGCCGTCGCCATCGAATCCGGCGCAGCAGATATAATCACCAGCGCTGACTTCACCCACCAGAACTGGGATAAGCTATCAACCGCCCTGGGCTGCGGATCCGGCAAGGGCACACTGCGCTGCATGCAGGGGAAACCGTTCCGGCAGATCCTTGCGCAGCTCTCCTCAGGCTCATACAACTTCGCCCCGGTGCAAGACAACGTCACCGTGTTTGCGGATTATCCTGCGCGAGCTAAAGAGGGAAAATGCGCGCGGGTGGTACGTACACAATCTCTGAATTTGGACTTGTCTGACATGTTCAGCCCGCTCTCATCGGCAACAATGCGCGCGAAGGCGCGGCGTTCTTCAACCTTAGCTCTGTGCCGATCAACGAGACGGCTATTTTTGCCGCGACACAGACCACGTTCAACTGTCCTGTTCAGCACTCTGCTTTGTATGTCTCGCCTCCCAAGGTTTCCTAGATCAAACTAACGGCCACAGACTTAAAGTTGAACAAGGGATTTCGACATGGAGGTATCTGTACCATGGCAATTGGAGCAATTTGAGCCCGGTGCCGTGGCTTGGGGCATACCATTCAAGTGAGTAGTCCAGGCTACCTAGGTGAGTGCCATGACTGACAGAGGTTAGGCGAAGTACCTATCGTGTTTGGAACCTATAACATGTCCCCTCTGAGTATTCCTTCTACTCCGCGGGAGGTGGAAGCCAGCAAATACATTCAAGGTATGGAATCCCAGTTTAGGATTTTGGAGATTGAGGCTAACATCGCTAGGTGCATGGGTTGCCTTTGCCAAAGATCCTCACAAGGGATTGCGGAAGTATGGATGGCCCGACTACAAACCTCATGGTGAGTTGATCTCCAATGGACTGTACAGATCTAACGGTAGCAGGAAATACCCTGATCAACCTGGCCCTGAATAACAGCCTCGCTCCGGTTTTTACTTCGCCCAAGGGATGGGATAGCCACTGCAATGGATCTATCTTTGTACCATAACGGTCACGATCACATAGGTCCTAGATATATATCAACCTAATCTACCAGTCAAGCCAAACCAAAAACCTCCAGCGGAAACTGATCCGCCAGAGCCTGATACCCCTTAACATTAGGATGCAAGTGATCCCCCGAATCAAACTCCGCCGCCAACTGCCCCGGCGCCCTCGGATCCCTCAACACCTTATCAAAATCCAGCACCGCATCGAAAACCCCACTGCTCCGAATAAACTCATTCACCCGCTGCCTCGTCTTCTCACGCTCATCACTAGAGTACGGCTGCGTGTAGTTCGAGCTCGCCGGCGTCCCAAACGGCGTGATCGTCGCCCCGAAGATCGGAATCCCGGCTGCGTGCACCCTTGCCGCGATCTGCGTAAACGCAACCAGCAGCCTGTCCCCGATGAGCTTCTGCGCTGCGGGATCAGTGCTTGCCACGCCGATGTCATTGACACCCTCGAAGATCATGGCGTAGTGCACGCCCGACTGAGCGAGAACGTCGCGGTCGAGCCGGCTGAGGACGTTGGGGCCTAGCCCGTCGGCGAGGATGCGGTTGCCGCCGGCGGCTTGGTTGAGGAGGGCAATGGAGGATGTGGATCGGTATTTTTGCATTCGGGCGAGGAGGAGATCGGGCCATCTGGAGTGATCATCAGCTAGAGTAATATGGTGAAGAAACGTAGAACGCACCGGTTGTTGGCGTTGGTGTCGCTTCCCCTGCCATCAGTGATGCTGTCGCCGATGATGGCAAAGCTGCGTGAGGAGGGAGATAGAGACGCTTCGACGGCGCTGATGAAGTACCTGCGCTGCATTAGCTGGGTCTTGTAGTATGACGTTGGGGCTTACCAGTGATCCACGCTCATCACTGACGGATCGGTCAGATTCTTCGCTCCGACCCAGTTACCAAAGGATAGCCAGGATGTCGTCCTGCTTCCCGGGTGTCCAGTAATGGCGTTGCCTTGCTGCCCTTGAGCGAGGTAGATATCAACCAGAAGAGTCGACTGCGCTTTGACAGGGAACTGGATGGGATCTGAAACGGCCAGTGCTCCATTCGGAATGATGATCTCTTCGTTGCCGCTGAAGAGGACTTTCTTGCTTGATCCTGGTTGGAGAGCGCTTGTTCCTGTCTTTTGGTCKAGTGGAAGGCCAATTGCGACGCTGGTAATTGCCAGATCGTTCACCCCAAAGGCATTCGAGAGTCGTAGGCGGATACTGTCTGCATCGAGCGTGACGTGGATCGTCTGACGGATGGTGGAATTGTTGAAGACGGAGGTCGACGAGTTCTATTCGCATTAGTTGAGGTCATTGCATGTTAGGATAAACTCACATATGGAGCCGGAGGTAGATTGTAAGGCTCAACCAGCTGCGGCATGGTTGTCCATATATCCACCCAGTGTGATCTACGACTTGAAGCCGCATTGCTGCTAGAGAGGGATATGTCTAGAGGAAGCGACCAGACAGTGCTGAATTGAAGGAGTAGAAGAAGAGCAGCGACTGCCCTAGAAAGAAATGTAGCCATTTTGAGCATCGGATTTGGCCAACTTCAACCTAGCCCTCTCGTATAGCGAGGATGGCCTAGAGGACGCCGCATGTTAAATAGAGATTCATCGTCAGGAATACCCCATTTCCCCGGATTGTCCCCTGATTGATCCACAGCCTAAACGGGTAAATAGCGTCAGCCTGCAGGGTGAAGTATTTCGCAATAAATTATCCATGGAGGATGTTGATGCATCCATTCCCCGCAATTGCAATTCAGCCGTTGGTCCGGGATCATATTGGGACGGGATCAGGGAAGCTTGGCTGGGAGATCCTGATCCTGTGTCGCGTGAAGTCCCTTTTTGCTCCGGAGCTGTTGACTGCAATTTCACCTTTTAAATATGGAGTCCATTACCTCTAGAGAATTCGTCGAGATAGATATACTGATATAGTCCCAGAAGATTATCTTTGCGGGTACAAGGCTAACTCCGCTATTTCCGTTGATGACGCTGCGGGGTACAAGATGAATCACATATAACCACATTCAGCGACCTCTATCCTCCCTGATCTCTTCTGTCAGGTTCTATCAAAACGCACAATGGCTGCCATCTTCCAACCCCAGAAATCTGCCCTTATCACCGGCGCAGCATCCGGTGTCGGCTTCGCCATTGCCAGACTATGTCGCTCCAAAGGCATGCATTTGGCGCTCCTTGATATCGATACTGCCAATCTGGAAAAGGCCAAAACCGAGTTGTCTGCTCTCGACTCCTCGCTGAAAACAGAGGTCTACACGATTGACGTTGGTAACCGGGACACCTGGAAGGACGTCGCAAAGCAGATCCGCTCGACATTCAACGACCTCGATCTTGTCGTTCTCAATGCAGGAAAATCATACAAAGCGCAGAGTGAGCTGGCAGGACGGCTGAAACCATGGGCTGACGCGGAATACTGGAAGAAGGTGAATTCATCCCATCTGCAAGTTGGCAATAGCTGATGAAAAAGACATTCGACACAAACGTCTTCGGTCCTTTGAACGGACTCGAAACTCTCCTTCCGCTGCTTACTAGCTCATCGCCAACTCCAAAATCGATCGTCATCACCGGCTCCAAGCAAGGCATCACGAACCCGCCTGGAGCCGCCAACCCGGCGTACAACGCCTCCAAGGCGGCCATCAAGAATCTGACCGAGCATCTGGCGCATGATCTGCGGTCGGATCCAGCTACGGCTCATATCTCGGTGCACCTGCTGATTCCCGGGTGGACATGGACTGGTTTTATGGGGAATGTGGGGCCTACGAACGAGAGTAATGTGAAGAAGATGGAAGGGGCGTGGCTCCCTAGTCAGGTTGCGGAGGAGTTGGTCAAAGGAATGGAGAAGGGGTCGTTCTACATCGTCAGTCCCGATAATGAGACGGACACGGCTCTGGACCAGGCGAGGATGCAGTGGGCGAGTGACGATGTGGTTGAGGATCGGCCTGCGTTGTCGCGATGGGAGGAGAAGTGGAAGGGGAGAGCGGAGGAGTGGATTCAGAGTGAGGCTAAGAGGAGAAGAGATGCTTGATCGTGTCCTGTAACAGTTGAAGTATGATGCTCTGTTAGCTATAGATGGACTTGATATGCTGATTTATCTTACTGATCGACAAGAGTATCCTGCAGCGAAGGACAAGGATACAACGCGGGCAGTTGTAACACATTGAACCAATCATGTAGTGATCGTATCTAATGAGATATGATGAATAATAGATCATCGAAGCTGGCCCAGTGAGAGCGGTTCGTAGAAACTTCAAGAACTTTACAAGGATTGAATATGTGTTTTAGATGATGCACGCTAATTATGAATGGGTGCCGCTATGCCAGACTCAAGCTACTAAGGTAGCCTAAGACCCGTGAGATCCTCGCAAGCTTTGACGACGACCTCCTGCAAATTTGCGTCCCTTGTCACATCAAGAGGTTCACCGATCTTCTTCTTGGGTTCAAAATATACACCAGTGAGACTTTGATCATAATCACCTTCGGCCAGCATAACGTATGTCTCGACACCGTCCTCCAGCTTGTCGGTAGCGCCTTGACCTCCAAGCTTGGTAGCAACCCATCCAGGATGCACAGCCGTGACTGAAGTGCCCTTGAACCGCCTTGCCACCGCATTTGCAAGAAGCATAACATGAAGTTTTGAATCACAGTATGCCGGGAAATCCTGGAATTTCTTTTCTCCCCGCTCGAACCAGAAAATATCCTTCACGTTCGTGTTGGCTTGTTGGTGGAGGGTGGAAGCAATAAAGATAAGACGCTTGGGTTGCTTGAAGAGGCAAGAGAGAATATAGGGTGCGACAACATTGACAAAGACCATAGCCGGCACCCCAGTATCTGGCGTCTTGCGGAAGGGGCCGTAAAGCAATCCCGCATTAAGAATGACGGCGTCAAAGGTACCAATGGCGTTTGCTTCCTCGGCCAGTTTGCGCGTCTCTGCCATGCTTGTCAAGTCGGCAATCAGCACGCCGGCAGCTCCGGGGCATTTTGCCTTGGCATCCTCTGCGCGCTCTTGGTTACGCGCATGAAGATAGACGGTGTGACCACGCTGAACCAGCTGACGGGCAGCCTCGAGGCCAAAGCCATCCGTAGAACCGGTTATCAGGATACGGGCCATTTCGCGGAATTGGCACAATTGAAAGAGAATGTTGGTGTATAATTTTCGACGAGGACACAGAGATGGCCAGATGGACAATGAATTTCTAAGGGCTTCAACAAGGGGAGTGAGAACAGAGCTGATTCGAGAAATATTGCCCAGTCTGTAGTGATAGAAGGAGAGATTTGGAAACGCAGGTACAAGGTAATAAAAGGCAGTTGAAAACTTGCTGATCCACAGCAAGCTATAAAGCCGAGGAAGCCGGAGAAGTACTACTACTCCGGACAGTCTTGTAGGGTGAGCGGGGTCAATTGAGGATTCCCCACTTGTAACAGGCCAGCAAGACTAGGGGACCTTTCATATTTAGATAGACTAGATACTAGGCTATCTAGTGATATCATAATATCTAGAAAGATCATAAAAATCAGTGTTTAGTAAGCAAAATATCAACACTAAACTGATAAACAGTAACCAATGGTCCTCACCGACTCCGCATCGGGTTGGGGATAGGGACACCGAACTGGTGCGATTCCCTAGGCTACGGGCCGAACCCGAACCAGGGTTGGATTCAATTAGCAGTTCGGTTATGCCACTCACTTCTAGCTCGTCTATATAATATTTGGGTAGGTGAACAGGGGCCTGAAGTGCTCTGAACAAAGATTGAATAAGGCGGCAAGCCGCAAACGCGGCGCCTGGAGTTATGCTGCTGTATGCTTGTTGCTCAATTTACGTTTTAGCTTATGTCCTATTCTTTGAAGATGCAAATCATTGCGAGGTTGAGAGCGATGATTTGAAGCATGCAGCTTACTCCGGTCCTAACCCTAATGGGGGAATTTACACTCCGAGGAATTCTGAAACGATAAGAGCCGCCAGATTTTTCCTACTTACTCTTCTCCTTCAACATCAATCGGTCCGACATTCAATAATCATTCTCCATAATGGCTACTAAAAAAGAAGTCTTCATCGGCACCCGCAATTCCAAACTCGCGCTTGTCCAGGCTGAACGCGTCTCGAATGCATTGGCCAGCGCCAATCCCGGGACCACGTTCCCATGGCGAACCGTGTCGGTCAGCGGGGACGTAGACAAGACCAGTCCCTTTCTCAAGTTCGCAGGGCCGTCCGATGCGGCCAAAAATATCTGGACGGAGGAAATGGAAGCCAAGCTGCTCTCGGGCGAGCTGGACTTGCTGGTGCATTGTCTGAAGGATATGCCGACACGTCTACCGGTGGGCTGTGTACTAAGGGCCATTGTGCATCGCGAGGATCCCACTGACGCATTTGTGGTGAAGGAGTCTCTGAGAGGACAGTACTCCGATCTGGCGCAGTTGCCGCCGGGATCAGTGGTGGGAACTAGTTCCACGAGACGAAAGGCTCTGCTGGCACTTAGATATCCTCAGTTGGTGGTTGAGGAATGTCGCGGGAATCTGTGAGTCTCCTATCATACTCTTTTGATGCTATTTTGAAATCCTCTGACTCATATACGATGCAAGTGATACTCGGCTCCGAAAGTTAGACGATCCAAACGGTCCCTATGCGGCCATCATTGTCGCTACAGCCGGACTGGTTCGCATCGACATGGCGCACCGTATCACAAAACGCCTACCGCCATCTGAGTTCCCCTACGCTGTCGGTCAGGGGGCACTCGGTATCGAAGTTCGAGAGCACGAACCCCACACCCAGACCATGATCCAGCGGATTGAGGATCCCCTGGTTAGAAAGATGTGCATAGCGGAGCGGTCGCTGCTTCGCACCCTCCAGGGCGGCTGTTCGTCCCCAGTCGCTGTAAATTGTACTACCGAAATTCCAGAGCCCTCTGCTTCTCGGTGTGTAGCTCGTTTACGACTTGAAGGTACCATTATTCATCCTCAGGGCATCAGTCAGGTATCAGCCTGGGCAGCGGCGGATGTGAGTGACGACAATGCCGCGGAGGTGCTGGGTGCTGAAGTCGCAAGGCGGTTATTGGAGGATGGAGGGAAGGCCCTGTTAGAAGAGATTTCTCGTTTCTACAAGAACCAATCTCTTTAAGGCAGTTTGGCGGCGGCGGCGTTTCTGTCTATTCAACATCTATTAGAGAAATCCGCAAGACATTGCAGGCACGCCATTTATCACCAGCTATCGCTATGTGAAGCCGTGCAGTAAAAGTTCAAAAAGGTCAGATGCCTTTCAATTTCATATTCTCCTGAAGGTTTGCGGGCTTGCAGAGATAGTTGTTCAGCTCTTCCCGGAAGGGCGTCGGAGTTGTATCGGACTGGGCGGGTGCCGTCGGACTAGGATCGGACTACATATCAAACAACAAAGCCTTGTTCCTCAACAAAACGTCTGAGGAGAGATACAGGCTCTATTGAGCAAGAAACGTCTGGTTGCTGACAAGAATCCAGTAGCTCTTTTGCCAGCAATGCCACCGCTCCATACTCCCTTTCCTCGAATGCCCATTGAATTGCTGACCTGCCACACTTGTCCAGTGCAAATATATCAGCACCCGCTGTGAGGAGTTGCTGTAGCACAGTTACATGTCCTCGTCGCGCTGCCCAATGAAGTGCGGTCATTCCAGTGCCATCAGGAAGAGAAGGATCGATTCCCTCGGAAATAAGATCACCTATCTCGATTGATTGTCCATCTCTGGCGGCTATATGGAGTGGTGTCAGGTTCTTCATGTGGCCTGGTGCAATTTCGGGAGCGATAGCAGCACCTTCTGCCTGGCGAAGGAGTTCATCGAACCGGGGTGGAAAAGATGCCCAGTTAAGTGCAGTTCTTCCACATTTGTCACGCGCAAACACGTCGCCTCCAGCGTCAAGTAGTTGCTGTATTGTTGTTACAGCTGCGGCTGTCCCACCACTTTGGACAGCCCAGTGAAGGGCAGTCATTCCATGATCGTCCGTTGCTGTTATATCTACCTCTTGTGCCAGAAGTATCGAAAGGATGTGTTGACTTCCACCATATGCAGCGTGATGAAGAACTGGACCTTTATGAACAATTTGTTTTCTTTCGATTACTTTTCCAAAAGATAAGTGGAATATCGGCATTGGTGCAGGCGTAGACAGTGCGTCGTCGTTCTCAAAGGCATGAAGAAGTACGCTAAATACCTCCGCGTTGCCGCAATTTGCGGCGCTGTGCAATGCTGTAAGCTCATTTAAATCTCGACGAGATGCCGATGTATTATGATCAAGTATGAGCTGGACCGCTTTCAGATTCCCTCCTTGAGATGCGTGATGCAATGGTGTCATCCCCCTTTCGTCCGTTGCCGTTGTACTGGCCCCAGTATTGATAAGAAGCTGCACGACAGAGTCATGGCCTCCGGAAGCTGCGAGATGCAGTGCTGATTCTCCAGTAGCATCCACCGAGTGAACATCTGCTCCGGCTTCGAGGAGGAGACGTATCATTGTCTCATGACCCAGGGAAGCCGCTCTGTTCAGTGGCAGCAATCCTAATGTGTCAGGTAGAGAAGCATTCACCCCGGCATCCAGGAGAATTTTTGCAGCTTCGATATGCGCAGACAAGACTGCCAGATTCAAGGCCCGTTGACTAGCATGAGCGCCCGCATTCATAAGCAATTCAATTAGCTCCGCATTCCCTCGATCAGCTGCTGTTTCTAGCGCAGTATACGGTGATCCAAGGCCTTCCATATGAAGATCAGCTCCCCGGTCCAAAAGCAGCCGTACTATATCGTCATGGCCTCCAGCCACTGCACAATGCAACGGCGGCACTCTACCGAAAAGTAGAGAACTATCGTCATTAATGCGATCCAGCATCGCCGTCAGGCCCATAGATCCTTTCGCTGTTAGATCACGAAGTGTGTCCGTCAAATGGTAGGGGAGGCTTGACGGATTGGCTCCATTCTCAAGAAGCAGAGCTACTATGATTTTGAGCCCTTTATAGGCAGCCCAGTGTAAGGCTGTTAACCCGGGGAAATCGAATGCATTTACATCCGCTCCAGCATGGATGAGAAACTTCACCACTTCAATATGTCCACCGTATGCTGCCAAGTGGAGCGCAGTCGTGCCCTGGAGCGCGTCTCTCTGAAATATTAAACGTATTAGCAACTTTCAGAGGGTATTCGACGTAGATTGTTGGATACTTCGTAGTCTGTATGAGCGTGAATGATATGAGATTCATTCGGTTCTTCATCCACGGATTTAACTTGGTGTCTGTACGACGCAAGCTCGGCTCCAGCAGTAAACAACCTCCGCACTGTTTCAGTATCTCCATCCAATGCCGCCTGAAGGAGAAGTTCTGTATTGGAGTACGGCTGAGGTTGGGTTGCAGGGAGGTTGGAAGTAGTCACGAAAATATCGGCAGCGGATATAGGCATCGGGCTGCATACCCCTCTTTCAGTGTGTAACAGGTTATTACTGCCATCGAGATTCCTATTACAACATTGGAGTTCGCAGGGATCATTATCTACCATGATCGAAGGTAACCTTGCCGTATCCGATTCAGCTAACTTGCAGATGGCAGCCAGCCAAAGGATAGTCCCGACTGAGTGACGCATGTATAATATCAGGTCTTGTGGAGGGCTAACTGCTCTAAGCAAAACGAAACTGCAAGGGGTTAGCCAGTAATCTCTGATATGCAATAAGATCCGAGGCCGCGGCATAATATAAGACGTTGAAATAGATTACCGCTTACCGAATGGAGAAATTCGGCCATTCTCTCGATAAACCTTTCAGTATAGGTGATTCGGCCAAGATAATCATGAACACACCAGAAATCTATGGAATCATGATTGTAAAGTCAATCTCACCGATGCAGGAGCATTTGGAATCTGAATATCTTCATTTTTCGGGATATAAATATGGCCTAGATAGTCACTCGTTGAGAAGAATTAGACCTTCATTTGCTTTCGATCTTACATACAAATTCTTAGTCATATCGAAACTTTACCACGTAGTCGAATTCAAAATATATTGTGGTGGCAGCTGCTACATCTACAAATACCTGGGCCGACTCGCATAGTCAGAGAAATATTATCAAAATTTTATCACACTTGTACCTCAATCCAAGGTTTCAACTAGCAGGCAAGGGGTGTCAGCGTATGAATTCATCCACCCATCGATCCATACTGCGATAGAGGAATTGCCTGCTAATGGATACACTACTGTTCGCTGGTCTCCCCAAAAAATGTAAGCGAAAAGTTTATCTGTGGTCATTAATCATGATATACTTAACATTCCTGCCTACGCTATTTGCCTGAATCCAGAAATGGATGTTCTGTGGCATAATATATTCCAAAATGGCACATACAGCAGCACACCTCAAATCTTCCGTCTAGCAACTGCCAACAAATGGTCCGCATTTCCCAGAGTATTCGGGTCCTCGGCAAACCGGAGCACAACATCTACCCACCGCTCATAAGCGTCATCCTGCAGTTCACCAAGTTTGGAAGCTAATCCACCCCCTAGGAAACCTTCACAAGACACTAATCTCTCCAGCTGGAGCTCAGGGACTGTCATGAACATGGCCCTAACTTTATCCGGATCCGAGTGGTAGGAGCAGATAAGCTGACTTCGAGTATATCTTCCCTCAGCAAGATAGTTTGCGTAAAAGGAATCATATTCCCTTACGAGACGCATAGGGTCTCGCTGTGCAATGTCTCGCAAGTGAGCATACTGGAGCATAAATGCAGCTAGAATAACTCCATTGGGTTTCAGAACTGCAGCACATGCTGACAGAACAGCCTGGCGCTCATTTTCCTCAAGTAGATGATAAAGCGGACCTTGGCATAATACCAGGTCGTACTTTTGTTCCTGGAAGATGGCAGGATTGGAGCGGATGTCTCTCGCGTCGGCTTTGACAATAGCAGTCAGTTTGACTTGCGCTTCTTCAGCCGTACTGTGGGCTATCTCGAGCTCCCGGTCCGAAATATCTGCGAGTGTGACCGAGTGCCCTAGCTTGGCTAGTAGCAAAGCTGTAAGGCATGAGTAGGAGTTCTTTGACAATCACTCTGCCGGGAAGAAATTCAATGTGACTAACCATACCGACCAGTTCCGCCACCCAGATCCAGGATTTCTAGCGGTCTGTCCCTACCCAGTTGATCCAGATACTGAGTGATAATTCTCCAGGTAATTGAGAACTCAAGTCGGCAACTAGTGAGACGTTCATGCTCCAGTGCTGCATTCTGATCGTACCAGGTAGCTATCTGGTGCACGTCCGTCATTGCGTAGTCTCTGTGTTATGGATGGGTAGTTTTCGTTCAAATAATGCGGTCGAATAGAGTTATCAGATGTGTCAATGTCGCTGCTTAAATTGAGCGCCGAGGGCAATCTCGTGACATCGTACGACTGTAAGTGTCCGAAATGCGAGTCCGAAGTGCGAATACGAAGTGCTTACGCTAAATGGCTCATTCTAAATGCCTCAATGAATTCAGCCAATCGGACTCCCTACATTACACAGGCCAACAACGCCCTGCATCTCACCTGAGACGCAGAAAATATCTCCATCCGTATGCGTGCTCTGAAAGACAGGCGCAATACCCATCACTAAGGTTGGAATAGATCCAGCAGACCATAATCTGAAGAAGGCCCACCGGGGGAATGCTAGACAAATAATCAGGCCAAACAAACGAAGAAAAAAGGCTACAGTAACTATTGTACATGACTAGCGACAGGTATTGACGGATCTAGTCCTCCATTAAACTCTGTGATGCAGAACGCTGCACGTATGCTGGCAAGAATAGATAGCACAGCGCGAGCAGACCCTGGCTTCCTTACTAATAGGTAGATATACTCTAGCAAGTACTACTCCCTACACTGTATAGAGGTTCCTGCATATAGATAGGGGTCTTAGGATGTCATTCTAAGGACCAAAGGACCTATTCACCTAGAAATGGTGACGGTCAATGGTCCAAGGCACAGGTAATATGACATGGGGATCAAGGCCATAAAGGGAATCATATAACACAGGTCTGCCATACCTGTAAGGGAGAACACTGCTGCACTTTACACATTCTAGTGAATGATGATAGGAAGCCTAATCTCTAAAGTAAATATGACGAGGAAAAACCTCCCTTATATTTCCAGTCATTCCAGTGACCCAGTAAGACTAACTATGTAGCACTAGCACCCAGCCCCACCAAACTTAAGTATAACAACTATCACATGGTTAAGAAAGACTTGAATAGTTATTAAAGCACTTGGCAAAACTCCTAGCTATTTCTTTGGGCAATTGCCCGGGGTTAATAATGACTACATAAGAAGAGCATATCCAGATCCACATCCCTAAATGACCACGTATAATCAGGTTTCAACTCACTGGCCTGGGGTCCTTAAGCAAAGACTGGCTGACTAGAAGAAAATAATTTTCAAAGACATAGCATGACTGGCATTTAGTAAGGAAGAGCGTGGTCGGCTGGTGAGAGAGGTATCTTTTAGTTATAGTGCCAATTCTTCTAAGTGCTACAATTATCTGAAAGAGTGGGTTTAGTCGAAGCTCTATAATGCACTGTGACAGTCATTCTACAATTGGGAGAATGTATCACGAACCTCAGATGAGTTTTTTAAGACTATAACGCCTCGTCCTCCTGCTGCACTTCCTCTTGTATGATCCAAGTGAATGAAGCAGCACCGGTAGATAGGGTGACTCTTTGCTGGTCCACCACGAGGCGACCACTTAAGCCGGTTTTCTTCTGAAGTCGTATACTCAGATTCCTTGGTGCCTACCTTGCAGGATCTCAAGCGGATTTCTCATGTGCCACATGTGGAAGTCTTCTTCCTTAAATATTGTATAATTATTACTCGCGTAGAAGCTAAAGCAGTGTTGCTCCGACCCATGAAAAAGGAGTTGATTAATGGTCTGGTTTTATATAGCTAGCATAAACTAGCTAATGCAGGAAGGGCTAACTAATCAGAACCTAGAAATAGCAAGGCAGAAGTGTAAAGGAAAGGAAACATACATATTTAATAAACTCTGGCCAAGTGCCACTGCTAGAGAKGTACCGTGCTGATAGTGCCTACTTCTCCTCACGGATGCAACCTCATCTGACAACGATCGCCGCTTTCGTCCAACCATCCATCTTCCCCTCATCTAGGTGCTATCCAACGAATGATTGATCATCTATCAACAGGATAATGCGGAGAAATAGCGTGGGGGTTACATCTTCAAGGATCCGTGTCACCATGCTATCTGCTTATCTTAACATCAACCGGCTGATGATACTCTGCCTTTGGGCAAGCACAATGATAAGCGATGATTCAATCGTGCTGATATATATCTGACTGCCTTGCATGTCATTTCCTTGATTTATAAACTTCGAAAGAGTCAGTATATCCCTTGCGTCCAGTGGTGTATATCTCCCAGCATCCGTCCTGAACTTTCACCATCGATAGGATCATGGCGTCGAACATAATGTCCGACACAACTCGAGACGATACAAAAACATCCACTGCAAATGAGTCTGTTCATGAGAGCGGCGATCATCTGAAGAACTATGGCTCTGCGCCTGGAGTGGTGGAGGATATAGTGCGAGTAGTCGATCATAAGGCCGAACGGGCTCTCTGTCGCCGGTTTGACCTGAGATTACTCCCTGTTCTCGCTGTGATGTGTAAGTCTTCCCGCATTATTTTGGAAATCGTGATACTGATACTGATTGATCAGATCTCTTCAACGCGCTGGACAAGGGAAACCTGGGAAATGCAGAAACGGATGGAATGAGCGGGGGTAGGTTCAAGTCCCGCATGAAGAAATTAAACTAATGGTGTAGATCTCCRCTTCAAACCCAACGAGTACAACCTGCTGCTATCCATCTTCTTTATTCCATATGTGATTTTCGCGCCTCCCGGTGCGATGCTCGGTAAACGCTACAGTCCGGCACGCGTGCTGCCCATCCTCATGTTCTGCTTTGGCTCCTTCACCCTGCTGTCGGCATCAGCCAAGAACTTTGGCGGCATTTTTGCTCTTCGGTGGTTCCTGGGCATGTGCGAAGCCCCATTCTTCCCACTGGTCATTTACTATCTGACCACATTCTACCGGCGCGGCGAGCTCGCCCGACGGCTGGCCATCTTCTATGCCGCCTCCAACATCGCCAACGCCTTTTCGGGTCTGATAGCCTTCGGCGTCTTTCAGATCAAGGGCTCCTCCATCCCCAACTGGCGCTACCTCTTCATCATTGAAGGCGGCGCCACCGTGCTCTTCTCCATCTTCGCCTTCTGGTACCTCCCGCGCAGCGTCGCTGAAGCCCGATTCCTCTCTGAAGATGAAAAAGCCCTCGCCTTCCACCGAATCCAGGTCGACTCCAGCGCGGTCGTCAACGACAAGTTCCGCTTCCGCGACGCCCTCGCCATCTTCAAACATCCCACCACCTACGCCTTTCTCTGCATCGAAATCTGCCTCGGAGTCCCCATCCAGGGCGTCGCGCTCTTTCTCCCGCAGATCGTCCAGCGCCTCGGCTACTCCCCCGTCAAAACGAACCTGTACACCGTCGCCCCAAACGTCACCGGCGCCGTCATGCTCCTCCTGTTGGCCTTCTCCTCCGACGCCGCACGCCTCCGCTCCCCATTCATCGTCCTCGGGTTTTTGTTAACATTCACCGGCTTCATCATCTACGCCTCCATCAACGACGTCCAGGGGCAGATCCGCCTCGCCTACTTCGCCACCTTCATGATGACCTGGGGCACGTCCGCGCCGTCCGTCCTGCTGAGCACCTGGTACAACAACAACGTCGCGGACGAGAGCCGCCGCGTGCTGCTGACGAGTATCGGGGTGCCGTTGGCGAATCTCATGGGGCTGGTGAGTAGCAATGTGTTCCGCGCGCGGGATAAACCCAAGTACATGCCTGCGTTGGTGACTGTGGCGGCATTTGGCGCCACGGGGGCGTGTCTCGCTGCGTTGCTAGGGTGTTATATGTGGCTTGATAATAAGCGGCGGGATCGGAGGGATGGGGTGCGCTTGCGGGCGCAGGAGGTGCCGACGGAGAGGTTGAGGGATGGGCCGAAGGCGAGGGAGTTTCGTTGGTTCCTGTAATTCTTGGCTATGAAATATGATGATGATATGACCTTTTTGCAGATGTCAAAATGCGTTGGAGATGACCCCCACTCGTATTGCAATGTAACATTCGCGTAGACGCTGTCAGATATGACTCTGCTCCTGGACAACGGGCATGTTACCCMGGATCTTCAAGCTCAGTGTCTCTTACGGCAGTAGCGTGGGGTAAGGACGTGGGGTAAAGAATAACATAACGATGTCACCCAAGATGTCGTGGACGTCTAACCGTCATGTTGGATGCTCATCGAAGAGATGACGCAACCAATGGATGAATGCCCTTATGTAAGGAATATCTCTGTAGATTTCTACTACTGGTATCGGACATTGACAGGACGTAGAATCCCTGCTATTCTAATCGGCGTAAATGAACATCTTCCACTGCGGAGTTCGGTCGACTTCTCGTACACTCCAATTGTTTGCAGCCTATAGAAGAGGCAGAGGAGGTACTACCTCTGGCCGGTGTTTATGCATTATCTAGGTATTATTGAAAGTCACGATTCCACTTGTAGGAAGAAGCAAGACATATGAAACAATGTGGAATATTAATAAGAATAGGATGATAAAAATAGACAGAACTAACCCGATCTGTTCTAGTCTTTTGATTGCTAAGAGAGCTGAATCATGCATATCTGTCACTAACCCCCTATCAGCTATGGCTTAAGATGCACGGGACAATGAAAGACAGAAAGATTCCCTTGGCCAAACCATCCTCCGTGCCAATTCGCTCGCGGAACGGATGTACGACTTGCAAGTGCGATTCCTAGGATGACCCCCGTCGTTCAGCCGACACTGACCGTCCTAGAATCCGTAAAGTCAAATGCGGAGAGGAAAAGCCCAATTGTATTCGATGCACCAGCACAGGGCGCAAGTGTGACTACCCTAGCCCAGCTCCATCGCGCCATGCCTCAACATCAGCATCTAGCGTGGTTCCGGTCCTGGACCGGCCGCTTTCGCTTTCACCGAGTAGGGTATGGCTAGAGCGGCGGGCCTTCGCTCATTATGCCCAACATGCTGCGTCATTCATTGGCGGGGGGCTGGAAATCGACTTTTGGGTCGGTGTTCTGACCCAGGTATGTCGGACTGAGCCTGCAGTGTGGGATGCGATCAACGCCATTAGTGCCCTCTTTGAGAATCCAGATCCCTGCATCGATCCTGTCTGGCCCAGGCAAAACAACAACGGATCTCAGGTCTTGCGTCCTAGCCACAGGGATGCCTTACGCTGGTACTCGCGCTCGTTAGCCACTATGCGCAGACAAATTGACCGGGGCAGTGTTGACATGAATGTAGCGTTGATTAGCTGCATCTTGTTCATCTGCATAGAAATGGTGCAAGGGCGGGTGGATGAGGCGCTACGGCTGTACCAGCAGGGGGTAGGCCTCATCTTCGACCTCCGGGCAGGTGGTACTAGGATGGGGTCTTGCACGGACTTCGCTCTTTTGCAAGATACGATCATCCCTTTTTTCCTACGACTGGGCACAATTGCGCAGCGTATTTCAGGCGTCCCTGTCAGTGGCTTACTCGAGGAAATGCAGGGTCGCACCGAAAACATATTCTCCTCACTTAGCTCAGCCCGTCTCGCAATGGCTGCTCTCGCTGCAGAAGGCATGATCTTCCAGCGCTCTGTTGAGGAGCATTTTGCGACTAAGGGCCCCGGATGCGCCGTTCCCCTAGCATTCAAGAGCAAACAGAAAGATCTCCAGAAACGACTGGCAAAGTGGCATCGCGCCTACACCGACTTTGTGAATTCATCTGACCCGTCGGAAGTTCCTATTGGCTTGACCTCTCTCTTGCTTTCCTTCCACGCTGTCACATCGATTGTTACCGCCGTTTCCACTGAGCATCTGGAGACCGCATACGACGCCTTTCTACCCCAATTCCGGCTCATTGTTGAACAGTCCGCTGTACATCTCGAAGCTTCAGCTGGCCCGAATGGCAGGCAGCCGCCATTCACCTTGGAGACGGGCCCTGGTCTCTCGTTGTTGATGACTGCTATTAAGTGCCGTGACCCGTGGCTGCGCAGAAGGGCCTTGGAATTATTGAGAAAGGCACCTCCAGTGCAGGCGCTGTACAGGTGTGCACCGGGTGCGACATTAGCGGAATCTTTTATTAAATATGAGGAATCAGGGACTATATTCAACGGGTCTAGCCCTGGATGCGCAGGTTCTTATGGCGAAGGGAGTCATTGGACGAAAACGTTTCCAGAAAGTGGAAGAAGTGAGATCGAATCTACTATTACAACATTGATACCGGAGGAATCTCGAATCCACGGCTATAGCGTTTTCCAGCCGCTAGACGACCCCTGGCTATTAGGCGATCCAGACATCTCCAAGTGGAATCGGAGGCCTGATCAGACCTACTTCAGGTTTTCACGGAATCGATTTGATGAAAATACAAAGACGTGGCGAATGGTCCATGACATTGTCCCGATTGACTATTGATATGTCTCTATGACCATGTCATTCCCAGACAGGTTTCGGTATAATTCATGACATGCGAGCACCATAATAGGAACTTCTCGCCCAATGCATCAGATGATTACCTGTCCAGCAGGTCTATCACGTATGGCACTCCCCGGGTCCCCAGCTCAGACTCGTCAAGGATCCCTGGAGAGCTTCACTCGAGCCTGCCCAGCCAGCATCTCCATATTCTTCAGCCGCAGATTCCGCATATACTCCTTCTGCTCGTACGTCATGTCCTTTTCAGTCTGGTCATCGCGGAAGCCGTTCGTCGAGATATAATGGATAGAGTAGCCGATCAGAACCGAAACAACGCAACCGACAATAACAAGAAGGATGACGGCTTCTTTGGAGAGTGCCATTTTGACTGCATTGTATCATGAGCATCTTGCATAGAGCAGATACAGGAGCATTTACTCACCTGCTGAATCAATTGCTGTTTCTACCTTGTTCACGAGGTCCCAACAGAATGAGGTTTGCAGGAGGAAAACCCCCTTATATCTCTTCCCCCTCCTGCCATCGTATCAACCACAGTAGCAATGTGCGTGTGTAAGCGCTAAGCTATTCGCGAGCAGTCTGCTTGATATCCCTGCCTCTGCTCTATTTTTGTCAGGGTCCTACACGAGCTACGGCCCGATTGAGTCAAGTGCGGATAGCTCTGATGTCATAACCGAACAGACCAATCAAATGGCGGGATTTGATTATGTTATTTCGCTTTCCTAGACGGGAAATTATGCTATTCAAGAGGCTTTGTTCTGGTGTCCTGGAAGTAGGGCAAAGATCTGAATAATCACCTGGGAGATTGGCCATGTATTAGTCAGGCTTTCCATCTCCTCCTTTTCAGACCTATATACCACAGATTGAGTCTGGCATGCGTCCATGGCTGATTACATGGGCTGGAAAATAGGGCATCTGCTAGTCAAAGGTCCTTAAGTGGCTCATTTGAGGTTTGAATTGCCTTTGTATCTCATTCACTGTTCGCTGTGATAGATTCCTCATGGATCGCCTTTCTTGAAATGGCAGATATGTTGAATAGCGACCAGGGGGGCTTGGGGGGTAGTCTGAGAACTAGGGCTGTGTCGGACTATCTGTACACCTTGAAAATGTGCTTCATGTTCTTATCTGATGGACGATTAGTAGAATGTCTATTAATCCTAGCCGAGTATATTCCACCTTTAAACCTAATAAGCAAGGGACCCTTGCATTGATCGTCTCTATAGATCGTGCGGTTGAATCTACTTCCGCTACCCCGAATTGCTGATCACCTCCAATTGCCAATGCTCAAGCAGGGGAAGCAAGATTCACAGCCGGGTGTCACAGCCGAGAAGACACACAAATCCATGGTTCGCACTCGCAAAGCTTCAGAGTCAAACACATTGGCCACGGATATGGTTCCTGATTCGGAAGAGTGGTTCTCGGACGTCAGCTCCGTCCAGCTACACCCAAAATGCGACTAACGGCTCGATTTATAGGACATCGCCACGTGGAATAAGACAGTATGAGTGGTCACGAGTGGCCAGGATTCCGGATGTTGCGGATCTGGATCGGAGTAGTCCAGTAGACTGTCCTGGTCATAAAAGATAAATCGGGGCTTAACCATGGAATTCCCTGGGACGGCCCACCACAGAACCCTTAAACAGCAAAGTCCCCGCGAGCCTGGCAAATGGATACTGGTGGCAACCCGGAAAATGGTCCAGTTTGAACATGGTACGAAGGTCCGATAATCCACAGAACAGTATTGCCTTAATCCGTGCAAAAACCCGAAGTACTCCCAGTGCCGCGGCCCTTCAATTCTGTAGTATTCAAAGGCGGCCCTTCCCTGTAGTGACTTTAGTATGCTCAACGACTTTGTTTCACTCAAGGAGGCGCGCGCATCTATCTAAATCCAGCGCAGTTATATTGTATATCATCGCGTTGTGGCAGCGTCATGGTGGACGAAAGTGCCGCGGTCCGTGGTGTGGCGGCCGCTTTTCTGACAGTGGCAAGCATCGCGGTCATCCTGCGCTGCTATGTGCGACTGTGCCTTGTCAAGGCGTTTGGCTGGGATGATACAGTCATGATCCTGTCAATGGTATGCTCCCTGCCGAGAATTGGAGTGAAGCGATGCTGACTTTTCAGTTATTTTATGTCATGTTCTCAGGATGCATGATCGGAGGCTCTCTCTGGGGAACGGGGAAGCATCTCGTCGATTTGACTCCCAAGCAGAGAACGGTCGCTATGGAGGTTTGTACTGTCCTCAATGACTCAGGCTCAGACTTCACTGACAGCTCCAGTACTGGTTCCTCTGCGACGTTGGGTACGCCATCTCATCCATTCTCTGCAAGATATCCGTCGCCATGTTCTTGTTGCGTGTCATGGTTCGTCCAGCTCATAGGCGAATCATGTACGCGGTCACCGCGCTCACGGTCATTGTTGGCATCATCTTTTTCATTTTCATGATGGTGCAATGCTCGCCGGTATCCTATTTCTGGACCCGTATGCACGGTGACACCAATGGCAAATGCGGATACGTGGATGCGATCATCATCATGTTGTACCTGTTCAGCGTGTCTTCTGCACTTTTCGACCTGACTGTAGGCCTGCTGCCTATCTTGCTCGTGCGCAATCTGCAGATGAACAGGCGGACCAAGATCGCTGTGGCGGGTCTCCTGGGCATGGCATGCATGTAAGTCCGCTTGTGCATTTAAGATGCCAGAGCCTTTCAGTATGATATTGATTCTCGTCAGAGCAAGCGTTGCTATTATAATCCGGATTCCATTCGTTCAAACCATTCGCGATAAAGATTTCCTCTGTAAGTCATCCCCATCTATCACCTTTGACCATCTCTAACAGAATATAGATGCAACCGTCCAGGTGAGCTCTCAGGCAGCCATTTCTCGAAGAGCACAGGATACTAACAATATAGATCGCAATCTGGTCCAACATCGAAACCGGCCTTGCCATCACAGCCGGCAGTCTCGCCACCCTCCGCCCTCTCTTCCGCATCCTACACAGTCGCAATGGATCTTCCTACCGCATCTTCCACTCGTCCGGTCCCGAGAGCAGGAAGCGCCAGCACCAGTTCCCCCTGGGTGACCTCGAAAGCAACACCGCGCAGTCCGGCCATGATGATAAGAGCAACCCCAAGGACGTCCACCTTGGAACCACGATCTCGGCGGAGAGAAACGACGCCGCGGATTTCATGACTTCGAATACGGAGCAGCCGAATGGAAAGTCGCACTCGGTGCCTATGCGGTCTATGTCTAAAATCGGTGTGCATCGGACCTTTGAGGTTTCGACGTCCGAGGCGGGAGCGTGAGTGCAGAGGGTTCATACTTACCCAAATAATATCTGCGCTTTGCACAGAGTTTCTCCTATCTCCGCCAGTTCGATCTGGCGAGTCTGGCGAGCGCTATCAGGTCCGCCCGTCGCTGGGGTTGCTAAGTCACTGAAGCTAGCCTTAATGACCCACTCAGCAGGCGGATGGAGGGCATGGAACCCTCACATTCATGAAGCCATTTGATCGTTTTGTGAATATAAACTCAATACAAGTCAATTGGATTAATCAGCGCGCAGGAAACATCAGTACTAGAGACTCTCCATCTGCACCACGGCTGCAAGTCTTCGGCTTTCCAACTGACTCCACCATTACAATCAAAGAAGAACACTGAGCCCTTTACTACTGTCGACTATCTGAATCAGCTCCCAAAATCTTCGCCAAATTTGGACTCCCCTCGACCGCCTCTCCGGTTTCATCGGTCCGAATCCTCTGCGACGCAAAGGCCAAAAACACCGCCTCCCAGTGCCCGTCCTCAAACTCGAACAGCAACGCCCCGTCCTCATACACACCGTTCTCAAACTGCGGGAGACTCCCCTGGTTCATATGCACATCATGGAGCCCCGTCCCAAACGACGACCCAAACACATACATCCTTGCCTTTTGCGCAATCGCGTCCGAAAGGATCGGATCGAGGGAATCCAGGATATCATTGTTCGGCCCGGGGATGTCGTGCGGGAGGACCTTGCCTGCTTTTATATCCACCAGGCCCTCTGTGCGGATGTAATCCAGTCCTTTCATCCCGTCTCGGTTGAGGAGAGTGAACCCTCCATCTAGGTCGGAGAGGGTCTGGGTGATTGAATGGGAGAAGGCGCGGTCAAACCAGAAGACGAGGCGGGTGTCCCTGTCGGTGGATTTGACGTTGATGGCGGCTTGGTACTGTCTGGTGCTGGTGCCGTCGGTGAAGTACAGGTAGATGTGCGGGGTCCTGGGGTCTTCTTCTTCTGTCTGGGCTCTGTAGTGCGTTGGGTAGGCGACCCAGACGCCGTAATTTGGGATTCCCATGTTTTCTGTATAGGATTTGAGCGTGTGGTGTGATGGACTGGTAGAAGATAGGATGGGGTATCGGGGTTTAAGTACTCCACAGGCTATGTAGTCGCAATGTGTGACGCGCACGCTTTGAACTAGAGATAGGTTATCAGCCAGTAAAACTTGAAGATACTACACGTGCTGAGGAAATGGCGACATTTATTTGGGATGCGCTGGATATTCAGCTGCATTCGGCACTTTTCCGCCTCCGTCCTCTGCAGGCAACGTCATGACGTCCTACTAGCCTGTTGCTTAGCAGGCTTAGCTACGCTACCCCACTAGGACATTGTAACTGTAATGCAATAATTGGTTATCCTTTAATGACCTGGCGCTTGGGACATCCTGTTTTCATTAATTGACTTTAATAAAGTTCTGACGTACGGAATGCAATGATCAACATCTCAACCTAGACCAGTGCGCATTCCACCACTTCAGCTGGTCCTTTCTATAGCTATCCTCTTCAACGTAGCTCCCATTCCCATCAGACTTGTCCACGGTCCGGAAGACAATATTCTTCGGTTGCGACAGCTCATATCGTGGCCAGTATGGTGCACCGTCCACTGCATGACCATTTGGATCCAGATCATGCACAAACGACGCCCAAGACCGGGACATGAACTCGGACAGCTGATGATAGGACAGATACGGTCCTATATAGTTTGACAGTTTCTGCGACGGATTGTTAAACACAAAGATGAGCTCCGAGTAGTGCGTGCTGTAAACCGGCGGCACCGTCGCAATCAACTCCAGGACCCCATTCCAGGGCGGCTGGTCGAACCGATAACTGTACACCGGATTCTGTCGACGCTTGGCTTGGGCATTATTCTTTCGGGTATAGTATTCCACCAGCCCGCGCCGGCCAGCATGCACGAATATGTCGCCCGCGATGGCAGCGCCTCGCTTGTACATCCAGCCCTGACTGGCGAATCGCTCAGCGCCAGTACCGTACGGGCAACCCTGCGCAGGATCATCAGGGTAAAGAGCCAGCAGTTCCGCAACTTCGTCATCACTCAATCCGCCGCCATTCAATGTGCGGATATACGCAGCAACATCTGCAGTGGTATTCAGCGTCCCCCTCGGACCCCAGAAACTTGCCGTTCCCTCATCCGTATTCGCTCCAACGAGCACCGCGACGTCTGCAACCTTGCCCAGCGCAAGCGTCTCGCTCGGCTTGCGCGTGATAAACTCCCCGTCAATAACAGGAGTATAGATCTGCGGCTCAAACGCCTTAAACAGTACCTCGTATGGCACCTTCCGCAAACACGCCAGCGTATCCTCCGCACCCTTACACCCCACCGTCTCCGTAACATTATCATACATCGCCTGGTACCCATCCTCAGCCACGATGAGATCCGCATCCTGAAGCGCAGGACCCAGCATCGTCCCGCTATCCATGATCGCGGCGCGGAACAGGCCCTCATTGTTCCCGTCGAATCCAACAAGATGGTACCCCACGCTGAATGCCCCTGCGCTCTCGCCCCAGATAGCGACTTTCTCCGCATCGCCGCCAAATGCCGCGATGTTCTCGCGGATCCACCGCAGGGCAATCCGCTGGTCATACAGCCCGATGTTAGCCGCCCCGGCCGCGAGAACCTCCTTCGACGCGAGGAAACCCCAGCCCGCGACACGGTAGTTGATGCTCACGCCGATGATGGGCTTGCCAATTGCTGCAGACTGCTGGACGATGTATGACATGTTGTATCTGGGGTCAGCGACGCCGCCGGCTGTGAACCCGCCGCCGTAGATCCTGTAACTGTCAACCTCTACTCAAGGTGAGAAAGGGATCCACGTACCAAACCAGTACAGGCAGTCGCTCCTGCAGGGAAGCATTATCCGGGACAATGACGTTGAGGTACAGGCAGTCCTCGCTCAACGGGCCAATGCCGACATCGAATCCAGCGTAGCCGGGACAGTTGGCTGGTTGCGCTGTCGCGGGGTACGCTTTGTACCGCTTATTGTAGGGCACAGGATGCCGTAGTCGGAGGTCGTTGACCGGTGGCTGGGCGAATGGGACACCCAGGAACGCATTCTGGGAGAATGAAGGCAGACGCACGCCGCACAGTGTTCCGTTTTTTGTTCTGGCAGTAGGCGATTCTTGGGGGCAAGCACTTGCAAACGACGGAGCTGCCAGAGCCGCAATGGCTATGATCTGGAGGATGTTTACTATCAGATGCATTCTGCACAGTCCAAGTAGGCCACAGTTTCTACGAAATTGATTTAATTCTCCGGGGCTGCAGAGATATATACATCGGTGAAGGGGGTGTTCAGTAATCGGGCCATTCTCCGGTACTTCCCCCGTGCAAAGGGGCCGTCCGATCATTAGACCGCAGGCTTTCAGGCGGTGCGGGGTAGCTAATGTAGGAAAGTAAGCTAATATAAGCCTGAAAAGTCAATTAAAGTTGCATGTACCCGATATTATAGTCAGCCTAGTGTGCAGAAATGAATGACGAGGATGAGGATATACTTCGGGCTCTCGAATATCACTTGTATGGAGTACCTGAACTGAATCAAGACCATTTTTCAAAAATTGTCTTGGCTTTTGTGAGGATCATATTGCACATTGTTACTGGAATGAGTGGTAAGTTGGCTTCGCCTCGATTTAGGGACATTGGCTTTGTTTTAATGACACCACTGAAACTCTAGCCTACTGCATAGTTACAATCACGGACCATCTGACCAGTAAAGGAGCTGAGACGTCCTGATTTGTCTTATCTAGTGTATTTCTACAGTTCTCTAGATGATGCAGCTTGATGGGATACCAAAGAATTCGGAATTTGAGGCACTACCACTGTTGGATTTCACTTGTACTCATAAAAGTTGGTCCGACTAATAATATGTCCGGTCTTGGGTAGCGTTGATGTGCAAACTCGCAGAAGTTGGTCACAGAGTCCGTCTACGCACCATCCCTTGGGAACCAGACAAAGTAAGAAGCAACCCCTTTCTGCAGCCAAGCGTCCAGCATCAGTCAGGAGCCGTTGGCCGATTGATACCAAAATAACCGGATTTGGCGTAGCCGGAGTCTTTTGCAGAAACAACCAGACTGATTCATAGCAATCCAGCTGCCGACCCCTACGGATATGCCAAGTAGGGTCATGAAGTGGGCGAATAGCTTCGAGGAAAGGGAAGACCGAGTTTAACGAGGGCATTGAGAAGGMTATTAGGAAATAAATGATGTGCTTGCGGGAAGAGGGGGACGGAGAGGAGACTAACCATCAGGCCTGATCTTTACTCTCAGAATTATTAATTCCAAGGGTTCATCCTGGACAGGTTGGAAGAGTGCATCTTTGATATCTTTCTCAGCAGCGCCAGCTGACTTAGCAAGATGATCACGAAGGTCCAGCTCTTTGGCTCTTCAGGCAAGGTCAGTCATATGTCAAAAGGTTGTGATATACCACCTACCGGTCATATACTTGATGCTCAACGCACCTCAGCTCGTAATCTGATATAACCTCCAATGGTCGAGGCGACCGGAAATTCACCAAGTAAGGTGGTTCGGGAGAGAAAGTGTATGAGATAGAGAAGTCGTAAAGAACTGTATCATAGAAGTCAMCTGGAAGCCTAAAGTGTTCATCTTTCATATCGCCATGAGTGATCGCGAGGCTGTGCAATGCTGATAGACGGCGGCAGCGGTCAGTGAGTAGAGAGCAATAGAACTCTCTTTCAAAATCACTTAGTTCTAGATTTTGAAGCCGCTCCTTTAGACTTTCAATGTGTCTAGTTTCGTTGTGGTTATCTGCGGCTAGGATACGTCGAGAAGATAATTCTGGCTTAATAGCTTCAAGGATAATCGCCCGGCGGTTAGGATAGCCAGAACAAAAGTCAGATTTGTCAAGGTCGGTGATCACACCATAGAATCGGGGAAAATAGATCCGCGCATTGGCACAATTGTTCTCGATGCGGTGAAACACCCTGGCTTCATTCTGAAAGGGGTCGAGTTCATTCATAACGACCGCTGAACCCCGATTGCGTAAGTCTGGAACACGTTGGAGCTGGAGCTGGGCGTCATGTTCAGTGTAGTCAGGGAACTTGCTTTACATCAGCATCATGTATAAACCAGTCTTGCGGGCGCCCTACTCACCACCTTGGCCACGTACCTACGAATCATTCTTTCGTCGTACTCAACAACTACCCATAGCACTTGAATTCGACCATGACGACTGGGTCTACCTGTAGGTAGTGAGTTCCACAAAATCCACTTCTTACCCGGACGGAAACGCTTGAAATCCACTTGAGTCTCGAGGTCGAGTTTGGTCAAGTCAGGTGGACTCTGGGAGAAGAAAAAGTTCGTCCAATCTTTGGCATCCCTATATGTCATTTTTGATAGAGAAAAGTCTGAGCGAGTGAACCTAATGTAATTCAAAGCTGTTCAAGCTTCAGAGTGCAGGGGGGCGGGGGAATTTCACTGTTGTTCTCCATCACGTGAGAATATGCAGTTTTAAATGTAACACAGAGAGCAAGGAGGTATCAAATTTGGGGGAAAGGGGGAGAAAGAAGAGGGAAAATACCAAGTGCAGACTCCAGGCTGACTGTTCCAGTAGACCGGCGTTGTTATTAGATATAATGAGTTGCTCCAGCTAGTTTTATATTGCCGCAGGGCTTGTCATGGTACGCACTACGGAGTACCTCGTGAACTATATATGTATCACTTGAGTATGCTAGAATTCGGTATTCTAATATACGTGCTGTTTGACAAACGTGGAAATAGTTTTACTAAACTCAAACCGCGCTTATCCCACTCACACTCACTTCTGCATTACAAGAATCCAGCGAGCTGGCCACGGACATTGACACTCTCATAGTTGAGCCCGAACCCTCTTGTCTCAGGGATGATACGGAAGTAGAAGTTAGCAGTGCGATCTGTCTTGACAAGTCCAATGCAGTCAGCCATGTTATACCCGACGGCATCGGAAGCCCAGTCGTTCGCAATGGCATGGGACATCTGTTGCTGGTTGGCACGGGTGAGCCTCGACTGCTGGCGGATAGTCAAGGAGATCTTGAAGCCAGCACCTTCGAAGCGCTTTTCGTGAGCAGGCTGATCTTAGTCATCCGTGGACACGGTCTGAAATCACCAGCCAGCCAGATTTTGATATCGCCGTTGTCGTTGTAGGACAATGCAACATCGGAAACGCTCCCATCGTCTTGAGTCATGTTACGCGCAATAGAGCGGTGTTTCAAGGACGGCTGGGAGCCACGCTTGTCAAAGCTCACCCCGGGGACATCAATATTTTGTAAAAAGTCTTAGCTGTATCCGCTGTCTCTGAGCGCGGAGTCCAAGCCATCGGTGAAGTTGAACTGGTGAGCGAGATCTCGACACACCGCCCCGTCGCTTAACTTGCCCGTACAGATAGCGAATGTTTTGCTGGGGAGGTATCAAATATAAGGCTAGTTTATGGTCGAACGTTGCAATCCCCAACGCAGGGTCCACTTAAGACCAGCAACGGTACCGCAAGGCATGTAGGGCTGGTGCGTTGATATTAGGTAAACTTGTAATGTTGGTGTCCCAACTCCCAATAACAAAGTCTCCTGGTTCGATAGCACTTGCGAAATCTCAGCATCCTACCACTCTGCCAGTAGCTTTATCGTTTGATAGTCATATCATTATCTTCTACTTCCGTCCGCTACCAGTTTGCGCAAGTATCATTATCGGACACTCGGATAGCTCCGMCTCTAATACTATTCTACCATCCGGACTAGTCGCTAGGTACATTTCAGGGCCCACACAAGCATGAGACATTCAACATTCAACATCAGCTACTATTGGCCAGATAGAAAAGCGGGCAGGCTCAATGCAATTGCCTGATATCCGTAGCTCATACATATTTTCATTCAGCCACTCTCCACCACTTACCAACAATTCAACCAATGCATAACATCCAGCCCGCCACATCAGATACACTCGCCCCAGCACCTACTGTGCAGACAATATCAGTATCAGACGATGAGCTCCCGGTCTCACCTCTTTGTTCAATAGTCGATTCCTACCCCAGAGACCCAATCGCCCAATACCTCATAAACCCATTTGCTCGACACATCTTCAAGTAAGTCAGGCACCTAGACTGCTCTGCTCTTCACTAAGCATGAACCAGAACTCTGCTGGCAATTTTTGCCTTTCTGATCGTCTCGTATCAGATATGTGGTCTGTGGAATGAGGAGTCAGTTTGCGACCGGAGGGTCGACTATCTCGCCTTCGCGGTTGGTCTTGGGATTCTCGCCTTGATGGGATACACTCATTACCTGAGGAAGCGGATTGAGAAGCAGCAAAGGATATCGGCATCTGGAGAGAGTAAGGACGTCAATTGAGAGCATTGAAGAGTTAAGCCCAGGCTGTATTGCTGGGTTGTCCGTGTGAGGAAAGAATTAAGTGGGTTGATCAATGTAGATATGAGACTGAACTTTGACGTTGGATGCGAGCTTATAATCCTTATCTGGCTATGCTGTTGTCTTCTAGCTCCCAAGCCCCGTGCCACAAGAAATTTGTTATGTTCTTCTACTTTATGTTGTTTTAGGTACGATCAAGCAATATATATATCAGAAACTTGTCGTTGGCCACAAGTGCACTTAATTATCACATACGCCTATTGGCTTGAATGAATACAGGTATATTCAGAAAGTACTAAAATGCACTAGGTACATCCTTTGTTCTGAACTAACCCAAAGCCAATGATAACTGCAGGGCTTGCTCTCCGTGCGAGTATGGCCACAGTCAGGTGCAAGTATGTTCGAATGACTCTCCCTGCGTCCAACTAGCATGCAGAATTGGTCTGCGTAAGGAGAGCCAGCTTCCAAGGAAGAGAGTTGTAATCACCCGTCGCCGACGGGTCCATACCTTGGTAGAGATAGCGGAGTTTGCACGGGCTGATGGTCATAGTCTGGTCCACCTGAGTGCGCACCATCTCGCCATGGCTAATGCTCTTGGTCCAGGCAGTCCCGGAGAAGACCACATTATTAGAACGGGCAAAGGGGTTGGCTTCAGTGTTCGCAAGCCCAGTCCATGTACCCGTGAGCGAGGGTGCCGTCCAGGACCTGAAGTACCGATACCCATCGCTCCCAATGGCTTCCACGATGAGCAAATACTCATTTCCGACATGATATACATTGGAAGCCTCGAAGAGATTATAGGGATTCGAGTCAGAAAGGGCAATGACCGTGTTGCCCATGCCGTTGGGGAAGTTGCTCAGAGTGGTCTGTGAGCGGTAGAGGTGGCCATTGTCATCGGACGAGAAGAGGTAGCAATTGGATGAGTCGCAAATAACCCACATATCCACCCAGTAGCCGCTGCCAATGTTCTGAGAGATGATACTAGGAACGCTGCTAAAGAAGTTCGTAGGAGCACTCCACCCAGCAGGATTGCTAATGTCCTTGTTGGTGGAGTAGGCAGCATTTCCATTCTGGTAGACCAGGTACCACAGCTGCTGCGGCTGGAAGTAGAAGACCTGAGGCGCAGCGCGGTAACCTGTCCCAATCCCACTCTGGTCGAGATAGAAGAAGGGAGCATTCCCCGCTTGGCTAAAGTCGGTGAAATTGAAGTACACAAGGTTATAGCCTGACGCTTGAGCAGTGCTGGCGAAAACATGGTATGTGCCATCAACCTCTATGATAGAGGGGTCCTTGATTCCCGCAATGTTGCGGCCGTCGTTCTTGGGACCAACTAGCGCACCGGTCGAGCTCCATTTGAAACTGGTGGGCAGGCTTCCTGTAGCGCCAGATGTGCTTGTCGAGGTTGTGGGTGTAGCGGTGGTTGTCATAGTGGTGCTGGGCATGCAGTTGCCAGAGAGACACTGATAGTACCAGGCGTTGATAGAGCTGCAGCATGCACCGGCAACACATTGAGTCGAGCCCGTCCAGCCATTCCCACCACCTCATGTTAAGTTAGTGATAATTTATGCCTTGAGAAGGATAGGAGGTTGACGTACATTGGCCATACAGCGATTGCTGAGCCTGGACGGCCAGTGCCAGTCCGAGGAGTGTCACTCCTATAGCTCTCATCGTGAATCCGTATTGCGTAGTAAAGATTATACCAGCTTGAAGTTTTGCTCTATGAATGATGCACAGATGCGCATGAAGGATCGACAATCATGGCCCGTTTTAAAGCAGGAAAGGCCTCCTTCGGCATAGGCGACGATCAACAGGTGCCGACAGCATTAAACAAGAAGATGCTCTCCACCGGAGAATCGCTAAAGCAATGCAACGCTTGAGCCACAGTAATCTATAATGCCTTCGTTTGGGTATTTTGGGATGGTGCAGAGACTGGATATTAGCCGATAGTCTAATATGACCGGAGACGCCTTTTGGCTAAAATCAACCAACCACGAGGATCTTCAGCAATAATTTGGCCTTTATGACCCCGCATAATCTTCAGTAGCAGACTTGTCACAAATATCCCAATCTGAATGGTCCATCCGAGCGGCATTTGAGGTATACTCCGCGAAGCATGCGTAGGGCCTGGCATTTTGCGGGGGATTCTGATTCCTCCTGGAAAAGATCTACTAACTACGTGCTTGGGTCAACGTCGCTAACCAATCTGCATCTCTCACCACCGATGCATATGCCCCCTGATATGGGGTGCATAAGCAAAACTAGGGCTGTGGGGGTTGCAACGATCCGGTAGACTGCGTTTAAGCAGTTAGGATTCGAAGCGGGGTTTGGCCCTTTTTCAATTCCATCCGGAGTCGGCGTCCTAACAGGTTTATTCCAGCAAGACCACAGGCAGAAACCCAGAGGCCGAAAGTTACACTGGGTCGAAGATATCAGTATTCTTGCTTAGTCTGAGGAAGGCGATTGGAATCCTCGCACCTGAGGGGCTCTTCCCCAGATTCCAGGATGAGGGGAATAGGCACTGCTTATTGTTTTCAGTAGATTGAGCGGAGATTGATTCGGCTAAGAAGTTAGACTATTATCTACCGTGCAATGCTTGTCTTGCACATTGAAGGTCTGGAAAAAAGCGATATGCCCCATACGGGCTACTCGGGGAAACGGTCCGTCAGTGTCGGAGTCTCCACATGTTGGCAATAAGCTGGAAAAGCTGGAATCAGCCGAAACTTCACCGAATGATAGCTTACTGCTATGGCACGCTATAATTGCTGATTCGGTGCATGCTCCGTCCCTAGTGTCTACCATTTCACGCTCGACATCCTTTAGCTCCGTCAACGCTCCCTGCCACGCATGCAATCAACACCGCTGATTATCGCAAGGTATGATGCTCTGAATGCCTAACATGCATTGTTAATAGCAGGGATTTCGGTAAATAGAGGTTCTTTCGCAAGTGGAGTGAACCGAGACACTTGTCCTGTCAAAAGATGCTGCCGACGATTTATAAATGGAGACAGCGGGCCTAGGAACTAACAAGACCAAATCTCAGGTTCCAAGTTAGTTGCAAGATGAAAGGAATTATATGCGCAATTTCCTTCGTGGCCGCCGCATTCGGCGCAAATTTCAATCAGCCGGTCTTATGGGAGGACCTGGCTGACCTCGATATTTTCCGAGTGAATGACACTTTCTACTATTCCGCATCAACGATGCATTACTCTCCCGGTGCTCCTATCCTGCAGTCGTACGATCTAGTCAACTGGGAATTCGTCGGGCATTCTGTGCCTACATTGGACTGGGGCTCCATCTATAACCTCGACGGGGGTCAGGCCTACGTCAAAGGTATCTGGGCTTCGACCCTCAGATATCGTAAGAGCAATGGCTTGTGGTACTGGATTGGGTGCATTCAGTTCAGCACTACATATATCTACACTGCTCCTTCGGTGACAGGGCCCTGGACAAAGAGTAGTGTTATCAATACTTGTTACTACGATTGCAGCTTGCTCATCGACGATGATGATACAATGTATGTGGCGTACGGAGGGACTACCATCTCCGTCGCCCAGCTCTCTTCCAACGGGCTCGGCCAGGTGAAGACGCAGCAGGTCTTCAGTTCCACAATTGGAGCAATTGAGGGCTCGCGGTTCTACAAAATCAATGGCGAATACTATATTTTCAACACGCTCCCTGCCAATGCCGAGTATGTTCTCAAGGCGAGCAGCCCGTGGGGCCCATACACTCAGAAGCTACTCTTGAAGAACATTGCAACTCCTATTACCGGAGGTGGTGTGCCCCATCAGGTATGTAGCCCTCTATAATTAAGAGAGAATTGAGCTGACGAG